TGTGTGAGAGGGAAAGAGGTGTTTCAGCGAACCTTTCTTTTGTGTTGGTGCTCTCGTCTTCTTATGAGCGTCCCCACAGACAGAGAATGAAGAGGACATTTTGCCACTCATGTCTCCTTAGATCTGGGTTTGATCATCAGGTTGGTTAAACAGTAAGATTGATTGAAATGAGGAAATGGGTGACAATAGGGTTCACATGCCACTTTATTTATTCATTATTAAGTCTGAAGATTTCCATTTTGAAATGATCTTGGAAGTTTGTGTGAACATTTTCAGCCACCGAGGAAATAAAGTTGCTGCACCTGCAGTAAATCAAGCAGCAGATTCAAGAGAGCAGGAAACTGGTTCAATCAGTAGGAGGAAGGCAAGGAAAGTGAATGAAGAAGAACGAGCGGGAACATCAGCATTGTCTTTGAGACCAGATAAAAATGCTTGAATTCAAATATGAAAAGTGGCGAGGAAGAGCTATTTTTATTTATTTTATTTTATTTGTTTTGTTACACTGGAATCTATTTACTCTGGGTGCAAAACACCAAATCAATGGCCGTTTGAGTTGCTGAGAATTACACAGATGATTACTTCATGATTGATGTTAGTTTGTAATTAAGATTTAGGCTTAGGAACAATTTGATGTTTTGTGAAATCTGCTGGATGAGGCAGTCCATAGCACTCTCATGTCTGTGCACTAAACATGAAGTCAGTAAGCTCATCAGTTAACACATTATTCCATATCTCTACTGTGCAAAAACGTGTAAAATGACATACTGTGGTTTTAAGGGAGGTTTATGTGCTTCACTATTTCTTGGTCGGCTGCTGTGACTTTGAGTCTCTGATGTCGATGACAACAAGAATCAGGCCAATAAACAGTCTGGGACAAACGCCTCCATAAAACCACAAATGGAACTGTTCTCCTAAGTGTGTTTCCCAAAAATAACTATTTCTACAAATTTGAGGTGAAATCCAGTTTCAGGTCAGTATGGATAATTATGGAACGGCTGCAATCAATGGAAAAGTCCTCACAGGTACAGGAATATAAATGTTTGAGCGTATTTTGGTCCACATGTAAAAAGAACAGCTGATTGTTTGAACACAAAACAAGCCAGTGTGTCCTCACCCATACCTCTTTCACTGTTACCTCCACCAGACCGCTCCTGATGCTCTTTCTCTCCGCCATCTGTACACGGTAATTCTACCATCTACTGTTTCCCCCCCCCCCCCTCTTCTCCTCTTTCTCTTCCTCTAACGGTCCTCACCCTTCACCCTGAGGCTGCGCGTTTAAGACCCCTGTTCCTCCCTTTTCCTTTCTTCTGCACTTCTGTTCCTCCCTGCTGTCCATCCATCTATCCATCCCTCTCTGTCGATCCTTCTCCCCTGGGCCATGTGGACTGTTGGATGGCTTTGTGTTTGACACGTGTGTTGGCAGGAGGCAGTGCACGCACGCACAAACACACACTCATGCACACGCACGCACACGAGCACACGCACGTACACGAACGCCCACGCGCAGGCACACGCACACGCCTCCAGTTTCTATTGTCAGTAAGCTGCTCAGCTGTGAGGCCCCTAGCCCTAATTCTGTGTGTGTGTGGGGTGAGGACAGGGCCCCCATTGTCCTGCAGATTAACTCACGCTCACACACATACACTCTCACACACACACGTGTCCCCGGACCCCATGGGGTCCGTTAAGTGTGAATGTGCCTTGAGGTAGAAAATCAGGGGGCAATTTATGGCAGAGTCCAGCTGAGAAGATGGGGGATGTACCGCAGATGCAATCCTCTGTTTGAGGCTTTAATGTCAAACTGTATCTTTGGGTTGTTGTTCAGGATGATAGAGGTGAGTCTGAAGCCCTTTTATTAGACTGTAGAAAAACCGAAAACTGTACATTAATTAGTTTTAGTGGATTTGTGCAGCAGCATACTGACAATTCACATAGTGACATGAATGGATACTGACACTCAGGTGCAGAAAATGCATAAAAACATATGTTCTACATATAAACATGAATACACCCTGACCTCTGCACCTCTCTGTGTACACAAGTAGAAAGGCAAACTGTAAGCTACAACAAGACTATCAATTTAGTAATTAAATCTGAGATTTATAATCAAGCACATCAGATATACAAAGCATTAAAACAATCAAATACACTGAGGACTATCTTTAACACCTTATGTCACCTTATCAGGATTTTACACACAGTATGGGAAACCTGTGAAGCTGGACAACACAATCAATTTCGGTGATCACTGGTTTGAAGCAAAGCCTCCCAAAACTAAAACCCAGAAAAGCCTCTAATCCAGCAGAATTAGGGAGCTGAGTTTGTGGGTTTGTGTTCTACATGCAAATTAAACTGTAAATTAGTAGCAGAAAAATAATTAGATGAAGCAGAAGATACACCGTATACCCGGAACTTCAACATGTCTTAAAAGCTGATCCTTTGCTGATCAGTGCAGCGTCGCCTGGTCACCTCCTTTAGTCATATTACAAATCCAGACTCATATAATCCTCTTCTTCTTCTTGGGAGGAACAACATTTAATTGGCCTTGGTGGAAGAACTGATGGATTTCTGCAGCAAGCAGGATTACAAAATAAAAGTGATTGGATTACAGCAATTAAACTAGTGTAAACAACCCAGAATTTAAACTTATTTCATGCGCACACAACTGCCTGAAATTAGAAATAAGAAATAAGGCATCTCTTTTTGAGTAAATCCTTCATTCAAAGGGAAAATCATCAGTGAAATATTTTCCCAAACCATAAAACCTGAATTTAGCCTCACAGCAGCATGACTTTCGTGGAAACGGAGCCTCAGATTCTTTGCCAGAGTTCATACCCCTCCCTCCTCCCTACCTGTGTGTATTATGTTAAGCCTACAGTGACTGCTTACATTCAAAACCGTTGACCTGCAGCGGCTGCTGTCTAGAATAATGAGTCATGTTATGTGTCTAACCCATACGTCTGCCTCAGGTGATCCATAGCTGCCAGTGTGTGTTTGTACAGATCTGCACATTTCCCCTTTTCCAGCTCTTAGTCTGAATGAGGCCAATTGACCGGCTTGGACGTGTACACACTTTGTGTGTATGTGAACGTTTTTGCTGACTTGCCTGTTTTACTTAACTAAGCAAGTTGCACAGTGCACAAATAAATTTCAGTTTGAAGTAAAAGTTCAACATTTTTGGAAACACGCCTGTTTTCTTTCGTGCACTGAGCTCAATGAGAAAATCTAAGCCAAATTTCTTTTATTTCAAATTTTAATTTGAGGATAAACCCCTTGAGATGTATCCTCTCATTTTCAGTTTCCTCTTATGTCTGTTCATTGAATATAAGGCTACAGCCAGTAGACTGTTAGCTTAGCTTAGCACAAAGACTGTAAACAGCTAGCCTGGCTCTTTCAAATAACCAAATCCACTTACCTTGCCATCTAACATATCAATATATCTTGTCTGTTAAATTCATACAAAAACCGGCGCATAAAAACGTCAGTTTGCTGTTTTATTGGGTGTAATGTGTCGGGCTGTTTCTTGGCTTTGAGCAGTTGCCAAATTAAGCAGTCAGCCAGATAGCTAAGCTAAGCTAAGCATGTACATTTTTTAGCTTCATATTTAACGGCAAGATATCCTTACTGTGTGTGTGTGTGTGTGTGTGTGTGTGTGTGTGTGTTAGATGGGCGAGACAGCGTGTCCTCTGACTGCACCCTAAATGCATCCTCTTTGTTAATTGTAGACGTCTGAGAATGATAACGTACTGATAACGTGGGAGGGGAGGGGTGTTGTAGAGAGTTTGGTTCCCTGGTTGTTGCAGCAGTCCTGGGAAAAGGAAGTCCATACAGGAAGTGAGCTGGCTGAGCCTCAGTCCTGTGTGAATGCAAACACTTACGTCTGCCACTGTACGTGTATGTGTCTGTATGGTATTGTATGGCTGTAGTGACTGTAGTGAAAGAGAGAAAGAAAGCATGTGTTATTCCAAATGCTGTCCTCACTTCCCCTTACTTTGTGAATGATGTAGCTGCAGGAAAAGGCTGATAAATGAACTTAGTCATCACATCACCTCAGAGCCAAGTTATGCAGTAATGTGCAGATGTGGGCAGATATACTATATGACGACAGGAATGAACAGAGAGCAGCACAAAACAGTGCAGGTCATCGCCCAGACAGTGGTGGATGTCATGTGTTAATTGCAGAAATACAAAGTGGGGTAAAAGGGACGCTTTGTTCTCTGCGACAATAATCTAACATTGTGGAAAGAGCCATTTCTCACATCAGTATTTCATCTTTTGAGAGTTTCTACGTTTTACTGCAAAATCATGTAGCTTCTGACTTTTGACAGACTGTTATTCTTCTGTGATGTTTCTATTTTTCAACTTTAACCTTACAAACACCCCTGGCACACAAAGGACATGAGAGGCCTTTCTCACCTTGATGCCACATGCTCCACTCGTGCAGCATAAGCGGCACGTGTAGGTGTGTGTGTGTGTGTGTGTGTGTGTGTGTGTCTGTGTGTGTGTGTCTCTTATCCCCTCTCTGAGGGGGGAGCTTGGTTTGGTTGGCTCGGTGTGAGCTCTTTGTAAGTAAGAGGGAGTCAGGAACCGGGTGTTTCTCTCAGCTGCCTGCCGGTCTGGTTGCTGTTGGTAACTTTGCTTGATGAGATCAGAGGGGATCGGCTTTCAGCCCTTCATGTCTCTTTCTCTTTCTCTTCCCCTCTCTCCCTCTCTCTCTCTCCCCTCTCTGTTCGCCCTCGCTCTCTCGGAAAGACTGAAGGGGAACTGAAACGGGAGTGGAGCTGAAAGTCTGTTCGGAGCTGTAGTTGTCAGCGGCTGTGACGACACTGTCTTGGAAACACACATTAGAGTTGGAGTGTGTTGGGGGAAGGTGGGGAAGCGTGGAGGGGGGGGCGAGGAAGAAGTGATAGCCTCAGGACAGATAAGCTCCAGGGAGGGAAAAGAGGGAGGGAACAAGGGAGGAGTAAAGAGGAGGGAGAGGTGGGTAGCCCTCTGAGGAAAGAGGGAGTCTCTCTCTTTCTGTCTCAGACTGACTTGCGGGCTGCTGGTTTTCTCTTCCTCTTGTCCTCCTGTCCCTTTCCTCGGGCTCTCTCGCTGCCGGCGGCTGGTTGGAGGAGTTCAGCTGTGTTTTGGCTGCCGTCTGGATTTGAACATGGACTCAGGCTGATCAGCTTCACGCAGCGAGACAAGACAAGAGTCACTGGAGATTCACTGTAAGCAGCTTGATCTGTTGTGTAGTCTACAAGGTGTAGTGTGTCATTGCCGAAATATGTCTCATCTGAAAGGGATTGCTGCTATTTCAGGAGTGTGTGTGTGTGTGTGTTTGTGTGTGTACTTGTGGAAGAAACTGAGCTGTATGTGATACAGTGTGCTTTCTGACAGTTTATACAGTCCTATACAAAACATGTCTGAGGGTTAAAGTAGCTTTGAGTATGATTAGTTTTTCATTCTGTTTACATTAGACAAGATCAGCCCAAACACTGCTGCTGCTGTTAACCTTTTGACGACACACAGTCCTCTCCTGTGGATGCTACTGTGCACTCGGCCTCTCCTCTTCCCTCCCTCTCTCCCTCCTCTTGCCCATCTTCTGTCACCTTTAATTTTCCTAATGGTCTCGAAGCCCCAGCTGGCCAGCTGGGATACCCCTGTGTGTGTTTGTGTGTGTTTGTGTGTGTTTGTGTGTGTTTGTGTGTGTTTGTGTGTGTTTGTGTGTGTGTGTGTGTGTGTGTGTGTGTCTGCTTTTGTTCGGTAGATATAGAGAGAGAGAGTTCTGGGATAAGCTACCCTAGGATTTCCCCCGCTCACATACAATAATAGGATAGATCCTGCTTTCTATTTTTAAACACACTGTTTGTCTATATGTTACAAACACCCCTAAGCTGCCGTCTCGCGCCGCGCTGCCGGCAGTAGCTTTTCTCACTGTGTTGTGTTTAGTCTATGGATTGGGGTGGGGAGGGTGTGTTTGTGTGGTCCATCCTGGGATAGAGAGATAGCAGCTCTCCTTTCTGACTTTATCCTTTTGTTTTGTCAGCTGCTGACCTCTGTTTCTCTCTCTCTCTCCATCTCTTCCATTGTTTGTGTTCCCTCTCGCTCTCTTTATTTCACTCAAATCCACACAGCCCTCCTCCACCACAGCCGCTGCCTTTTTATAGTTAGTCCCTTTATTTAAGTAATTGCTCTATTTAGGCGCTCTTTCTAATTTCCTTCCTTCCTTTTTCTTCATTTTCTCCCTTTCTTTGGTTGTAATTTGAGAACACAAGGGAGGTTTCTCGATATCATGCTGTTTGTGTGTGTGCATGATTGTGTGGATGTACTTTTCCCTGTCCAATGTCCTGGCACAGCACCCTATGTTCCACTTTGCACAGAGCAATTTTGGAGAATCCTGTGGTGAGAGAGACAAGTGCTCCAATCAAAAAACATAAGAGTGCGTGTGTGTGTGTGTGTGTGTGTGTGTGTGTGTGTTCATGCGTGCGTGCGTGCGTGCGTGTGTGTGTGTGTGTGTGTGTGTGTCTGTGTGTGTGTGTGTGTGTGTCATAGAGCTAAGCCTGCAAGTATTTCCATCATCTCTTGATTATTGCTTGACTAATTGATGAATTGCTTAGTCAATAAAATGTAAGACAATGGAGAAAAATGCGCTTCTCAAGTCACCAGACCCCAAAGTGATGTCTTCAAATTGCTTTTTTTTCCCCCCACACCCCAAATATGTTCAATTTACAATTATATAAAACAGAGAAAAGCAGCAAATGCTCTTTAAGGTTTAGCATTTCTGGCAGCGTCTGTCTGTTGGTTGGTCCTCCGCTTTCGCACCAGATGGAAATAGCTCAACAAATATTGAGTAGATTGGTGTTAAATTTTGCAATACATTTAGTCTCATTTCTTGATAAATAAACAATCAGTTAACTTACTGGCAAATTAAGAGACCAGTAGTTTCACATCTGTAAATTCCTTAACCGCCCACTCTTAAACCATCCTCAAAAATTTTGTTTGAATTTCAGACGTCCTTACATAAAGCAGGAGTTTTAAGAAAAAAAAAATCATGGGTTGCATTTGAATCGTGTGAAACGTTTCATCACACTCTTGTGAAAACGGGTTGGATGTTAAATGAATGATGCAGCAGTGCGTCATATTCGGGCAAGCTTCGATTCAGTTTCATTACTGCTGGGGTTGTGAATCTGCCACCTAAATCTACTGCAACTCCAGAGAGCTTTATGGATGGCACTGCCAAGGCCTTCTATATATATGTGTGTGTGTGTGTGTGTGTGTGTGTGTGTGTATGTATCTATGTATGTGTGAGATTAATAGGTTTTCCGTTAGGCTGTGCTCAATCACTGCAGCACTAATGGTCTTCCCTTAGGGCACCATGGATTTTAAGGTGTCACAGCAGGCATGAGAGAAATATAAGAACTTAGGAGCAGACACCGTGCGAGTGTGCATGCGTATATCTTGTGATTTTCAATCTGTCTAAATATAGTGCATTTCATTTTTTAGGCAATTATCAAGTTTCTGTTCCTACAGATGACCAAGGAGTACAGTTCTGGGGAATTTTACACTGGAATTGAGGGGCAGACAGAAGATGTGGAGGAAGGAACATGATTCATTAGAGGGGGGGAGGGCCGGTGATGACTGGAGTTATTTTGTAAAGAGTTCAGACTGAGTACATGAAAGTGGTGCATCAGGGAAATCTCACCAAAGGCAACCATCAACCTGTGTATAAAGGTAATTTCTTCCACAAGTACACAGTCAATGTCATCTCTGTGAGCGCGAGGGAGGGGGGTTTGGGGACGTCAGTGAGCACGTATACTAGGATGCAGCTGCGTGTGAATTTGCTCGTGTTCCGTGTTTTGCAGACTTTGCTCTTCCTGCATGCTGAGCTCGCATTGATTGCCGCATGGTAGACGCTGGGGCATTTGGTGTGGCATTTGATGGCAGGCCTGAGAGACCAATTGATAGAATGTCAGCTCTGCTGTAGTCTCCATGGATTTACTGGTACTGTAAGGCAGAGAGACGTGCAGAGAGACGGGGACAGAGACAAATGGATAGGGGAATAGGAAAGAAAGTAGAGGAAAAATGAGGGAGAAGAAGGATAGAAAGCTGGTGAAGACGGAGGAGAAAGATGTATGAGGAAACAGTCAAACCTACAAAGAGAGACGGTGATGAAAGTGGTGATGTCTCCTTCCACAACTGCCTAATAAGTCCAGAGATGTCCATATGAGAGCACCACTCCTTCTCATCAGCTGCAAGATAAGTTTGGAGTCTCTGTCTGTATTTTGACATCCTCTTAGGAGCCAGACGGTACAGTTTATGTCTAACGCTGGCATCCTCAGCTACCCAGGGATTCCCTCAGTAGGAATGAATGTCAGCAATGTAGAGAGGATGGTAGTTTGTTTAATCTAGTGGCTACAGCTGCCTGCTATGAAGAGATATAACATAAATGTGTGTATGTGTGTTTGTTGGTGTGCGTGATTGTGATTGCATGTCAGCTCTGTTTTTTATACACTGTGGTGCCCAAATGCCCCCCACCCCACCCCACCCCAGCCCCCCGCTCCCCCCTGAAGTGGAAAGTGGAAGAAGTGGCCACTTTGTGATTCATTTTTTCGGATGTCATAGGAATGAGGCCAAGCTGCTGTAATTTATCATGACAGCTAAGGTTCAAATAAGGTCAGAGTTGTTTGAAATCAGTTATGCAATGGTGGGGATTTACTGGCGGTGCAAAAAGGCAAAAACCAAAACAAAACACAGATGAGCAAAACTTTAATCTGTCAGTTATAATGAGACACATGGAATTAGTTTGGCATTTGCCTGTTCTCAAACTTCAAATTTATTTCCTTGTTATTAGAGTTCTATGACTTTTCATGTTGAATTTCAAGCTTGACCAACATATCAGCCAGTGAGCAATTTTTAAATGAACACAAGTGCCTAACTCTGCACTTACATCAGAATTCAAAACGACTGGAATTATTCGAGTTCAGCGACCCTTGACAGGTGAGGCAAAAATTAAATTTTGCACACTGCTGACATATTTTAATGCAGACCCATAGTCATTCCCCAAGAAAAAGACAGATTGCTCAATATTTCAGGAGTAAGCTGCTGAATCTCTTATGTGATAGCCAAAACAGACACGTAAGATGTTTTAGTTGCAGCTTATTAAATATTTCATAGTTCATGGTGTCTTTGCAAATAACTGTTCCTTGTGTCTCAGATGTTTCGGGGGCAAATCATGAAGTGTGGCTGAAACTGAGATCAGCTTTGTTGCAGGTCATAAACTTTTTGTTCTCAGAGGAATTGAAATATTTTAAAGGAATACTTTGACATTTTGGTAAATATACTTATTAGCTTTCTTGAGTTAGATGAGAAGAACGACATCAGTCTTGCATAAAGACCAGACAATGAAGGAAACACATATAGCCTGGCAATACACAACTAAAGTTCACTAATTAACATGTTTTTTCTAATTTGTTTAACACGTACAAAAATGAAAGTGAAAAAAAGCTTTTCTTGCCAGGGCTTCCTGAGGGTCTCTGTTGGTTGTCTGGCAACCTTACAGTAACAAGAAAAAGCTAGTCTAGCCAAGAAATCGTCCACCTTAAAACCACATTTTGTACTTCAGTTCTTGTTTGGATTATACAAATGAGATATAACGTGTTAAATAGTAAGCTTTAGAGGTGCTGGTAGGCAAATTTTGTTTCCAGTCTTTATGCTAAGCTAAGGAACTGCTAGCTGGAACCTTTTTTAAAACAGACAGATATGAGCGTGCTATCGATCTTCTTATCTTACTCTTTGCCAGAAAGTGAATAATATGTCTTAACTATTCCTTTGAAATATCTTTGACAGCATTTAACTTTTACATCAACATTTGACTCACTAAACAAAGCCTATTGTCTCCACATACATTATTATTGGTGCAAGACAACAGCTGTTTCTGCTGCTGTCACTGTGTCTGCAGGTGGCTGGGATGATAACTTGCAGACCAGCTGATCTGGGATGAAAGATGAGCACGCACTCAGACCAGACCAGACATTCATGCATGAACACAGAAACAGGAAGGCTGAATGACTGTGTAGCTATTAGTCCTGACTCTCTGGGGCCTTGTGGGTCTCTGGTTGTCCTTGATCGACCCTCTCAGACACAAACAAGCAATCACACATATACAGTAAATACTACTGTATTCGACAATAGGTGGAAAACTTGACTAACTTCTGTTACTCAGAAGTTCATATTTAGACGTTTAGTGCTTTGGGTCCTTTGAGGAACTTGACTGGATTCTTGTGGAAAAGCCCACAGACATCTCTGGTCTGTTCTCTGAGGGTGGTGCAGTATGAGTGAGAGGTTCCTCTGCAGTTTCCTACCCCTGTGTTTGAGTCTGTGTTTGTGTGTGACTTCAAAGCCTGTCTGCCCAGTCAGAGCTCGTTGGAGAGTTTAAAATGAAACACAGTCTGAGGGCAGACACACACACGCACACGCACTGTGTCCTCCTCTTGTACAATGTTACACACACACACATGCACACAAGCCCTTACAAGCCTTTTAGTGACTGGAGCTTGTTAGTAGTTCAGCATGAGAAGCCAGATGAATCCAGCCCACACACCAGGTGCACGCTGCTGTCCGTCTGTCTTCTGTCTGCCTTCTTATCTCATCCTCTTCGACTTTTTGAAAAGGCTTCTAGAATAGTTTCTATTTTAATGTAACTCGTTGGAAATTCGCAGTACAGCTGAAACAATTATTCTTTTATGGTAACCGGATAATTACAAACATTCCCCCGTTTCAGCTTTTAAAAGTTGAGGAATTCCTGCTTTCCTTTATCTTGTGTGATACAAAGGCTGGTGGTTGCATAAATGAAGTGATCTGAAGAATGTGAAATGTCATTGGGAAAAATTGTGATTTTTTTTTTCTACTATTTTCTTACATTCTCTAAACCAAATGATTAATCAGTTAATCAAGAAAATAATGATCAGATTGATTACTAATGAAAATAAACATTAGTTGCAGCTCTAAATCATAGCAACGTCTGCATTTTGTATTTATGTAAGTGTGCGTCTTTGCACATGTGTCTCCATACCTGTCTAACCCCGCTGAAAGTGCAGATGAAGGGAGGGGGAACAAGTGCAGTCGGTCCTCACTGAGTTGGCTGCAGAAGAAGAGAGAGATGGAGGGAGGGGGAGGTGGAGGGAGGGAGAGTAAACAACAGATGGTGAAAGCATGTTGCCGCTATTCACAGAAGCAAACGCCGCGCCAGCCCACCACCAGCCTCCTGAGAGGTTACTACGCAACGGTGACCGTAGCGACACGGGGTCAGAGGTCAAGTGCCTCCTTGATGACAGCCTGTGTAATGCCAGATTGTCATCCTCATGCGGTGCTAGACTGTGCCAGCTGAGAGAGACACACATACACCCACACATACACACACACATACACACACACAAACACACTGAGTTTGTACAGTGTTAAATAGTGTTTTCTTTGGCTGAAGTTTGGCAGTGATGACTCTGGAATCTTCCATGCAGGGTCCACCCTTAACCCACCTGCCAGCCGTGATGACACACACTGAGACAGCTGTCTCTGTGTGTGTGTGTGTGTGTGTGTGTGTGTGTGTGTGTGTGTGTGTGTCCGAGCACTGAACCCTCTCATGCTGAGGAGTGAACTGAGTGGTGGCACACATTGGCTGCCAGCTGCCATGACCTCATTCACAGCAAAAGAAAAAGAGAGGGATAATGGAGAAAATGTGAACAGTCAAAATGAGACAGAGGTGTGTGTGTGTGTGTGTTTGTGTTTGTGTTGCAGGGCACAGAAATTTTACACAAAATTACACCATGACCTACTCTGTGGTGTGGTGGCTGACCGGTTTGGTGGGAATATTTGTGCTTGTGTCATCAGTATCTGGTTAAAAATAAAAACACTGTACATATTTTTATATTAACTTTACATTTTAGAGAAGGACAAACAGTGGCCTTTGTTTAAGATGCACTTTTTGAAGTGTCTTTTCAGCTCAATATTATTGGCTTTCCAGGCTTAAGTAACTAGTTCATGTGTAGATAGAGACAAGAGGTTTGAACAACCATCTGCTTGACTTTTTTACATGTAGGAAGTGCAGTGTTGACACATAAATAAGCTGTGCATCACTCTTATCGAGGTGTGAGACAGTCTTACCAGAAGAAGCGTCAGTTCAGTGAAGACGCATAAAAATAAAGTTTTGTGGCTTGCGGCAGAAGAGGCAGCAGATAAATGAGACATGTAGAGAGTTTCGTCATCCACTTCCCTATCTGCCCGCGGTGTGACTGACTCTTTTCCCGTGAACAGGAAGCACCAGCTGCTGTTCCTGGAAGAGATCACTACGTCATTTAAACCCTCTCAGAACTGTCTGTGTGAGATCATCTTTTTATATGATTATGTAGCTTCATATGGTGTTAACTAAAATAACAGTAAATATTAGATTATGAGAGCAAATTAAATGAAACTGTATTTTTGAACTTATGAAACTTAAAACAAAAATAGGCAAAATTAGTATTTTTGCCTATATAATTTTCGTTGTGTATGTGTAAACTAAAGGAGATAAAAGAAATATTAAAAGACATTTGTTTGAACATGAACTTACATTTTCATCTGTTGTTTTCAACACACTGCCCCCTAAAACTCAAGAAACCAAAACTGGAAACGAATCACACCACACAGAAACTGACCAAAAATGAAACTAAAACTTAGGTTCCTGAGTGAGTGTTTAAGGTGTTACACTGAAAATGACATAACAATGGAAATTACATTCTCAAAATTAAACCACAATATTAACCATGGTTGTTGCTTACTAGAAATCAGGTTCTTGCGAATCAACATGAGCAGTTTTGTAGGTGGCAGAACAAAAACTGTCTGCTACTGTTAGTCATACTAACACATGTTATCTGTTTATAAAGTCTGATGATAAGCTCAAGCTGACTTTTTCAACTCTGTCACACAAATGACTGGAGCTAAATAATTACCTGATGTTTTTGTTTTCCTCCTGTTGTGTTTATATTTGTGCAAACTCAGGCAACACTCATTAAAATTACATTAGCTAAATGAGGGAGCGCCAGCTTCAAATCTGGGCAACGTTGCACAACTGGGGAATGTTCTGAGGCTGCGTGCAAGTGTTGGTATAGGCGCATGAGCTTGTTGGGAGGATGCAGGATGAGTCAGAGGAAATGTGTGTGTGTGTCTGTGTGTCTATTTGTGCTAGTGTGTGTGTGTCTGTATCATCCTGTTAATTGTTTACTCCCATCAAAGCAAAGCCCCACAAAATCTGTGAAACAAGGAGTTTTGCCAACACTTGCCATCAGTCTCCTCTCTCGCTAACTTCTTTCTTTCTCTTTCAGTCATCATCTCGCCCTTGTTCTTTTTCAAGTTTATTCCTGAGACTGTATTTTGCTGAAAACAAACAATTAGAGGGGTTAATACTTATTTGTTCTTTTCTCTGGACCTTCTCTCTACAGGAGTGGCACCCACTCTGTCTTTCTGAGGACATTTGTGGCATGAAACCAGATCGCAGACATCTTCCATTCATCACCTCCTCCTTCATCTCCCACCACCACTCTCCAATTAGGAACTCTCTCTCAGCTCCACCGCATTGATGAGGTAACGTCAAGCTTCACGCAGCGCAGCACACACCTGCACTATCACCACCCTCCCCACTTCCTCCCCCTTTTCCTTCTGACAACCCTTCCATCGCAGCCATGGGCCAGAAGATTTCTGGCAGCATTAAATCGGTAGACGGTCGCGGGGAAAGCGGTGGCTCCCCGTCCTACCGGCCCTTGGCTCATCGCCGGCAGCACCCAGAGCTTAGGGGCCCAGATTTCTCCAAACCCCCCAGGCTGGATCTCCTACTGGACATGCCGTGCGCTGGACCCGAGACCCAGCTCCGTCACGCATGGAACCCTGACGACCGCTCACTCAACATCTTCATCAAAGAGGAAGATAAGTTGACATTTCACCGCCACCCGGTCGCTCAGAGCACGGACTGCATCCGGGGGCGGGTTGGATACACCAGAGGTCTCCATGTGTGGAAGATCCACTGGCCCGCCCGGCAACGAGGCACCCACGCTGTAGTTGGGGTGGCAACCTCAGAGGCTCCGTTACATTCTGTTGGGTACACGGCGTTGGTGGGGTCGGACTGTGAGTCCTGGGGCTGGGATCTGGGACGTAACCGGCTCTACCATGACAGTAAGAACCGGGCCCACAGCTCGCTGCCATCTTACCCTTGTTTCCTGGAGCCGGAGGAGTCATTCACACTGCCGGACTCTCTGCTAGTGATTCTGGACATGGACGAAGGAACTCTGAGCTTCATGGTGGACGGACAGTATCTTGGAGTGGCGTTTAGAGGGCTGAAAGGCAAGAAGCTGTATCCCATTGTCAGCGCTGTGTGGGGACATTGTGAGATATCCATGAAGTACATCAACGGCTTGGATCGTAAGTAACATTTACTACACTAAGAAGATACAGGCATGGTTAAGCACAGAAGGAGAGTACTCAATACTGATATTTCTTTAATTTTATGTTGAGGAAAAGCCAATATTTTCTTAGTAAAAGAAAAAATTAAACGTATCTGCTGAATGATTTCCAACATGTCAGAGCCACAGTTAGGTGGAGGAGTTAATACCAGACCAGGAAACCAACTGTGGAAGTCCAGTCTTATTGTGACATGTCACCACACGTCCAAAGTTGTGGTAAGATTAGAAATTTATTACGCAATTCTGTAAACTCAGAGATTGTATATTTGACGCCCTCTCTTTGGTAGCAGGATGAGTGAAAGTTAGTGTGACAACAGAACATCCTCATGTTTTCCGATATCGAAGGTAGTGATCAAAATAGGATGAACGGCAAAGTTGATGTGGGAGTTAAACTGCTCACCGGGTGTCGACATCTTTTAGCGTGTGGCCAGTTATTTATGGAAATATTCTCTTTGCCGTTGTGTTCTTTCAAGCCGACCAGCAAAGATGTGGAAAAAAGTCCTTCGTCATTGTGAAGCCATTGAGACTTTTCTTCTTAGTTCATTTGTAAAGGGAAGTTGATTATAACACTAATACTTTGGAGCTACAGGACTCATTACTGAGTCTGATTTTACTGTTATTACTGGGGAGTTCTTGAGCTAGGCACCTGAGGTAATTATTTTCTCATATGGCCCTTACAGGTATCAACACTGTAATTTGAGCTGTTTCAATTACAGGCTTTCTGTTCTGTTGAGTTTGTTCGGCACTACATAGTCAGAGATTGAACTGTCTCGCTGTGGAACTGTATCCAGAGGTTGTTGTGTCTACGTAAACCAGCTGTGCATTACAGTGGATATGAGAGGGAGAGGAGTTCAGAGAGAGCAGTTTGGATATTATTCTGCATGCTTTGGGTTTAGGTATTTGAATATGGCTTGCCTTGTTCTCAGGAGACTCTGGATTATGTTCCGATACTCCCACTGTCTGGTTACGTGAGTGCGTTGTGAGAGAAGAGACAGGCTTCTCCTCCCCTCTCAGTCTAAACAGTGACTCTTTGAAGAGCTTGTTAGAAGATATCTTAGACACACATCACGGACACCTACACACATGGACACACACCTGCCAGGAAGGGAAAGTGTGTGTTATGAAAACATGGCTTATGATCTGACTCGGGCCATCTCCCTCCCCCTCTGTTTGCAGAACCCCATGGGTGTTATTTGATATCACAACAGGGTGTGTTTTTGTCTGTTATCCGGCAGAAAGCTGCGAGGAAACCCATCTCTCTCTGTGTGTTGCGTCTGATTTCTCCCTTTACCAAATCGCCTCAAACTTATCTTTTGTTTCTTAAAATTTCTTAAAAAGTTCTCAGCTCTCATGAGTCAGCGTGACATTAAGAGCCTGTTTTTTTTAACCATAAGAGGAGGTCATGTGCCTCATCCCAGGTCAGCTACAAAATTAATCAGACTGAAAACCAAAAAAACACTTGGCTGCATTTTAAAACTTGAATTTCTTAACCTCTGGTTAAGTCCTGCCTGCCTGCATGTGAGATGTTTGGTGATCTCCACACTCAGGCTTAGTTCAAAGTACATACTTGGGCTGTTGAAAGCACCTCACTTCAGCCATTTTCCATTTATAGAGCCATGCGCTGGATTTCACGGTGAGTGATGGGCCACCTTGGAGAATATGGAGAATATTGAGTCTCCTCAATGCCCCCGTTTCTACAAGCATATAGACTTCATGCTGTGAAATGAGGTTTGACGGTTGAAAATGTGCAAAGCTTAATGCAGGGGGGAGAGTGAAGGTTGAAAGGCTCATCCTAATAGGTGTATCTGAAGGGGAAACGATGGAGTGTGTGGAGAAAAGGAAGCAACCAGGGATATCTGTGTATGTATGAGAAACAGACAGACACAGAGGCAGCAAGAAAAATAAAAAAATGATCAAAATACCAAACCTGGTCACACAAGAAAGTGGCACAGTGACATTAATCTGCGTGTCTATTTGGTCCTTGGAGTTTGATGTCATAGGAATTAATTGCAAGGCTGCTAGGTGATTTCCTGTTGCTGCTGAGCTAACCGCTAACACATTTGCAAACCAGAAACTTTCCAGCACCTGCCAATCACAGTAACTTTACATAGTTTACTTAAAAACATATTTTTATCATCATTTCCTGTCTAACCTACTGCTCACAAACAGCTCTTCTGCTGTGGAACAGCTTATACTCTATATTACACTCTACTATAAATAAAAAGTGGATGGTGAAATGCAGCTAATAAGCCACGATAGCTTCCTCTCTTTTGGAATCCTCTGGCTTTCTGTTCCCCGTCAAAGGTCAACACTGTCGAGACCGGCTGCTGTTGGTCCACCAGAGTAAATTCACACTTTTTCACTTACTTCACCTGAATGAACTGATTTCACAGCGCAATGTTGCAGTCTTAAACAGTGATGTTACGAGACTTTAAAACTGTTGTCTCCTGTTAGAAATTACTGTCTAAGCACACTTTATTATGCAACTAAGCTTTCCAAAACTCATAAACAGAATAAATAAAATCATGTGTGTGTGCAAGCAGATGGAGACAAAGGCTTTATTTGGAGGCGGGCCTCTTGTAGGGGAAATCCACGTGGACCACCAAATCTAAAACAATGCTTTTGCTTTCTCGTTCCATTTACACATAAGCACATTCATAACTGAGAGGTCTTTTGGGGTTATTAGTGCTCCAGTCGTTGCTCTGAGTCTGACACAATGACTGCGGTGAGAGTAATTTCTCAAGATTTCATTCAGAGGTGAGGTAAACAGCCTGGAGCGTGTTCTCTTTGTTGCAGAGTAGGCAAACAGGGTATGATTACAGTCTGTGTGGCGGCTTCGTTCAATATCAGTTTTGAATTGAATCGGCTTGTCTGCCCCGCAGATGACTCGGATAGTGGGAATGAAGTCATAATTGCTGCCTGCCTGTGAGTGTGTGAATGGGTGTGAGTGGTAAATCAGATATATGTGGTCAGCTGGTTTACAGACGCTGTATCATATAGCTGTCTTTTGCTGCTTTTTTTTTCTCCCCCCACTGTAATTGCTTAGTGTATCATTTGTGAAATGTGTGTGAGCCTCAATAAGTATAATGTGTAAATCTGTTCTGTGTGTTTGTGAGCGTGTGCGTGTCTGGTCGGGAAAAATCCTCGGGGTAGTTCGGTAATGATTTTATCTAATATGCCTTCCTATGAGAAGCAACTATTGGATTGTTTGTGAATTATTGTTGTGAGGGGAAACAACACGACTGCGGGGTATTAAAAAGAGATTTATAGGCGCGGCTTCTCCTCGCCACAAACTGTTTGTTTTTCTCATCACTCCGGGCTCAGGCCTCGCTGCACCACGGGCAGTTGATCATCACTTTGCTCCACCTTAGATCATCGCTCCCATTCCTGCAGTTAACACAGCACACACCAGTGAGACATAAACCCAACCGCACTCCAGGCCCGTGGTAGTTTTGGGAAGATCACACAAAGCAATCAGGGTCAGATAAGTAGGTGTAATAAGCACTAATGCAAATAAATGCTGAGCGAGGTTCAGACTGCATTACACTGTAAATGTGATGTAAATTATTCATCCTTCCAGTGCTGTGACTTCAAAGAATTTCTCCTCTTCCATCTTGGAGTGAACAGATCCCTGTTCGCCAGATAGAGGATTGCTCACTTAGTTGTTGTTACACGTGTAACAAATTTATTTTGATATCTGGAAGCACGGTCTCATCTGCTTCTGTCTAATGTATATTCTCTCTCTCTCTCTCTCTCTCTCTCTCTCTCTCTCTCTCTCTCTCTCTCTTTCTCTGTCAAACACACACACACACACACACACACTCAGCTCTGTATTCTCTCTTGTCCTGTCTCTGTAATTGTACCAATTAGCGGTGCTTTGATTTGCTACAATGGGAGCTGTCCTAGCTTCAGCCCTGATGTGTGCCACTTCCTCTCTTTCTCTTTCTCTTGCTCTCTCGTCTCTTTGTACTTGAGCGCACATCACACCAAACTCCACTGCACAATCTGGCAGTTTAATGTTGCCTTCCTTATCAGCTACTATACAAGCCACCCAGAACTTAATTTCAGACCTTTTTCTGAATCATTACAACTCACTGTTGGCCACATATCACTGTTATCATGTGAAAACCTTATAAATCCAATTTAGGGGGCTGGTTTTAACTTGAGTTGAAGAATTACAAAGTAGTTTTTTTCTAAACTCTGGCGGTGAAGCAAATGTCAGCACTGTTTTTCCCAGTTGCTGAAAAGGTTACATTAAATGTTCTTTATCCAACAGCTGTGAAATGATTCACCAGTACAAATCAGTTTCAGCCCCCGACAGTTCAGCTGACCAGATGACAGGACCAATCAATGCTGTCTCAGAGACGGTTAAAGCAGCAAAGAGAGGAGAAAACAATGTGGAAGAGGGAAGTTGGGTTGAAAAGAGGGGGAAGACGAGTAAGAGGGATGACAGGGAGAGTGACAGAATGGAAGAAAAACAGGCAGAGAGAGTTGCAGCAGTGAGAATAAGTAGAAGCAGGGTAAGATCTAAAAGTGGCAGTGAACATACTGAAGTTTTATGAGGAGAGGGATGGAGCCAGAATACAAAGGCGGTAAGAGGGAGTGTTTGAACAATAAGGACAGAAAGTAGAGAGCTAGCAGAGTTTCACAGTTGTGTGGGACGATGTGAATGAGGCAGCGTGACACTGACACTCAGCTGATCAGCTTCCTGAGTTGACTTAGGGAGGGGAATTGTCATATTTTCAACAACAACAAAAAAAAAAAAAGTTTCAAAACTGCACTGCAGCACACCCACATCTCCGCACCATCACTTTATGGCTTTTATGTTTCAACTGCGCTGTGTGAAAAATGACAATCACACATAAAGTTGCCGGACTTCCAAGTGTGCCGACAGAAACGTGACATATGCAACGTGACATGCAGACACAAATACTAACAGAGTTTTCACAGGCAGGGATT